CTCACTTGGTAGCCCAGGCTGGCCTCGAACTCACAGAGATCCGCCTGGCTCTGCCTCCCGAGTGCTGGGATTAAAGGCGTGCGCCACCACCGCCCAGCTTGATTGTTATTTTTAACAGTGGTGTAGGTGCATGGTAGGTACTTGATGTCAACATTGTGGGTTATATAAGTGCAGTTAGGTGTCAAGTTTCTCAAGTTTCCACTGATGTAGCAGTTAATGGTCAATTAGAAATAAATAGGTAAAGACAGTGGGTGGTGAGGTAATAGTGGTACAAAAATATGGTGAACTAAATTAATTGTTATCGAGACAATGCACTGAGAATCCCTCAGTTATTTTGTTTTCTCTCTTTTTTTGTGAAAGGTTTTGTGAATAAATTTGACTGGGTGCCTGAAGACAGCTGAAAAAAATCACTATCATTATTATTTTACCTCTTGACAATTATTATAATAACTTTCTCTTCTTTGGGAATATGTGGTCTCTAAATGATCAACCTTGGCAGCCTAAAGTATTTATCAGCCCCTGTGCTGGTTTGTTTCTTTGTCAGTCGGACACAACTTGGGTCATCTGACAAGAGGGGACCTCAATCTGGAAGATGTCATTGAACATTTCTTGATTTCTGATTGACATGGACAGGCCTAGCAAACCAGTGACAGTGGCAGGTGGCCACTGAGTTATACAAGAAAAAAAGTCTGAGAAAGCCATTAGGACACAGTAAGCTCCATTCCTCCATTGTCCTGCTTCAGTTCCACCTCCCAGTTTCTGCTTGAGTTCCTGCTCTGGCTTCCACCAGTAATGTATGTGCTCAGGATGTGTAAGCCAAATAAACCCTCTCCTCTCCAAGCTACATTAGGTCATAATGTTTTGCCTCAGCTATAGAAAGCGAACAAGACAGACCCTTAGAGTTTACTTCCACTCACTATGAATAAAGTCTTTCCTTTCCCCACCTCATAGGCAGCGTTTGTTGTTATTTGCTGTCTAGGGGGCAGCCATTCTGATTGTCTTGAGATGGAATCTCAAAGTAGTTTTTATTTGCATCTCTCAAAAAATATTCATTGTTCATTCATATTTCTTCTTTTGAGAACTCTCTGTTCAGTTCCTCAGTCCTTTTTTTCCCCTTAAATAAAGCTGTTTGTTTTCTGCTTGTTAGATAGTTAATTGAGTTTGTTGTACAGGATTGTTATTAACCTTTGTCAGTTTTATAGCTGGCAAACACTTTCTCCCATTCTGCAGGCTACCTCTTCACTCAATTTGTATTCTGCTGTAAGTATTCTTTTTACCTCACAAGGTCTGTTTGTTGACCTTATTTCCTGAGCAACTACAGTCTTATTCAGAAAGTTCTTGTCTATACTGTAGCTTGTAGTGTATGCTGTACTTTTTCCTCTAGAAGTTTCAGACTTTCTAGTCTTATGTTGAGTTCCTGGATCCATAGGAGTTGGCTTTTCTTCAGGGTGAGAGGTAAGGATCAAGTTTTATTTTTTTCTACATGTAAATGCCTGCTTTTCACAGCACCATTTGTTAAAGAGCTGGCTTCTTTCCAGTGTATATTTTTAACAGCTTTGTTAGAAATCAGGATGTGTGGCTGCAGGAGTTGATATTTGAATCTTCTGAATATGTTTACCTATGTGTCTGTTTTGTACTAATATCATTCTGGTTTTTCTATGGCTCTGTAATAGAACTTGAAATCAGTTATTGTAATATGTTCAGGATTGTTGGGATATTTGTCTTCAAATAAGTTTTAACATATATTATATGTTAAATAACATAACATCATGCACATTACACACACACACTCACACATATAATGTTTAAGAAGGTTTTTTTTTTTTTTGAAATGGGGATTGCACTGAAATCTGTAGACTACTTTTGGTAAGTCAGCCTTTTTTTTTTTCTGTATTGTTTCTTCTCCTCCTGGAGCATGAGGGCATTTTCCATCTTCTGGTGTCTTATTCAGTTTCTCTCTTGAGTACTGTAAGGTTTTATAGAGGTCTTTCAATTCCTTGATTAAATTTATTTCCTTTTTTGTTTGTTCATTTGGCAGTTGTAAACATTCATGAATGGGTCTATTTCCTTAAATTCTTCCTCAGAATGTTTGTTATTTGTATGTAGAAAGGCTACTGAGATTTGTATGTTAATTTTGTATCTTGCCATTTTGCTGAAAGTGTTTATCCATTTTAAGAGTTCTCTGGTTGAGTCTGTTGGCTCTGCTATGCCTAGAAACAAACCACCTTCCAATAAGGATATTTTGCCCTCTTCTTTTCCAGTTTCTCTCCCCTTCCTTGTGTCTCTTGTCAAGTTGCTCTAAGTTTTCCAGAACTATCTCAAGTAAGAGTGGCAAAAGCCAATGCCTTCTTTTGTTTCTGCTTTTAACGGAAATAATTTGAGTTTTTCCCAATTTAGTATAGTTTTGCTGAAACGATTGTTGTGTGTATTTCCCAAGGCTTTTTCTTACATACATATGTATGAGTGTGTTTACATGCATGTAGATACACAGGTGTGTTGCATGTGTATGCATATGTATGTGTGTGGTTACATGCTTATGGATGCACAGATGTATGCACGTGTGTATGCATATGTATGTGGAGGCCGGAGATTAATGTTGAATTTCTTCCTTAATTTTTCTCCACTTTATTTGCTGAAGCAGAGTTTCTCACTGAACCTGGAGCTTGACAATTTAGCTGGCCCAGTGAACCAGCCAGTGCCAGTTTCCTCTTTTCTCTGCCTGCTGAGCGCTGAAGTGACAGGTGAGCTGGTATTCCTGATACGTATGTGCCATGGAGACCTGAACTCTGTTCTTCACACTTGTGTGGTAAGTACTCATCCTTTGAGCAATCCTCTAGTCCCACCTCCAGTCCACCCCAACCCCCCCAGAATCTTTATCATGAGGTAATGTTAAAATTTTGCAAATGCCTTTTCTACATCTGTTGGGATGATCATGTGATTTATGTCTTTAAGCCATTCATGTGACATTATATTTACTGATATGTGTATGTTGAAATCATCCCTGTATCTCTAGAATGAAGCCAGTTTAATCATGGTTATTAGACATTTTGTGGTATTCTTGAATTATGTTGGCAACAATTTTAAACTTTTTTTCATATGTTTAAATTATTTGTCTTATCTTGGTTTAATTTTATATGTTCTATATATCTAGCTATTCATCTATTTCTTTTAGATGTACTGAAATACACTTTTGTGACATTACATCCTGAAGATTTTCTAATTTCATTGCTTTCTGTGGTAAAGGGAAGGCTGACATTTCATCCTTACTTTTATTTGGCTGTATCTTCTCCCTCTTTCTTTAGTTAGTGTTGCTAAGGGTTTAGCGATCCTGCTTATCTTTTCAATAAACCTACCTTCTGTTTTACTGAGTCTTCATCATTTTTTTTAATTTTCCAAGACAGGGTTTCTCTGGCTATCCTGAAACTCACTCTGTAGACTAGACTGGCCTCAAACTCACAGAGTTCTGCCTGTCTCTGCCTCCTAAATGCTGGGATCAAAGGTGTGTGTTACTATGCCCAGTTCATTTTTATGGTTTTTATATAATTAGTTTCTTTGTGGATCTAATTATTTCTTTTTGTTTACTGACTCAGGCTTGGTCAATTTTTGTTTTCCCGAGGCCTTCATGTATATCATTGAGCCATTTTGCTGAAAGTGTTTATCCATTTTAAATATCTCAAGGATATTTTGCCCTGATTTCTTAGGGTGAGTACTTAGAGTTACAGCCTCCTGTAAGATAAATCTTAAAAGGTCCTATTAATAACAAACCCAGAGCCAGATATTGGGGTGAAAACTGAGAGACCAGAGAGCAGAAAGAAGCCAGCATGTTCTTACTGCTAGCAAATCCTTAGTCAGAAAGAGAGCTACTTCCTGTATACTCATGCCTATATCCTTCCTGTGCCCTGCCATCTCACTTCCTCTCTCCACCAATCTACATCACTTTCCTCTTTCCACCCAGCTCTACCACTTCCTGTCTGTCTGTACAGACCTCCAGACCTCTGTGATTAACTAGTGCTGGGAATTAAAGGCATGTGCCACCACACCTGGCTCTATTCCCAGTGTGGCTTTGCACTCACAGAGATTTGGATGAATGCTAGGATTAAAGGTGTGTGCTACCATTGCCTGACTTCTATGTTTAATATAGTGGCTGGCTTTTTCCTCTGATCTCCAGATAAGCTTTATTGGAGTGCACAAATAAAATATCACCACCACCTCCCCCTTCAGGAATGCTTTCTTTGTTGCTGTAGCTTTTGTCATGCTGTGTTTTCATTTTCTGTCACCTCTAGGAATTTTTAATTTCTTTCTGTTTTCTTTGAATACCCATTTATTATTCATTAGTGTGCTTTTAAGTCTGAAGGAGTTTATATATGTTGTAGGCTTTCTCTTGCTTATTACTGCTTCATTGTCATCAGACAAGGAATTAATTTTCTTATGTTTGTTAAAACTTGCTTTGTGTCCTAATATATGATCTATTTTAGAAGAAATCTCATAGGCTTCCAAGAAGAGTGTGTAATTTGCAGCGTTTGGATCGGACATTTTGTAGATTTTATGAAGTCTGTTGTTTGATGCCATTTAATACAGATATTTCTATTTACTCTTTATTGGGTTAACCCATCAATTGATAGGAATGTGGTATTGTAGTCACCCACTACCATTGTTCTAGGATTAATCTCTGCTTTTCTATGTAGTAGCATTTGTTTTATGAAATTAGCTGCCCCTACATTTGGCATACATGGCTAGAACTGTGATGTTCTTTTGATGGGTTGTTTCCTCAATCAGTATAAAGTGTTGTGGGATAATCTTTTTGTACACTGCAAACATGTGTCTATGCCTAAGGTACCTTCTGATTGATTTAATAAAGAGCTGAATGGCCATTAGAGAGGCAGGAGAGATTAGATGGGACTCCTGGGGAGAGAGAGAAAACTCTAGGAAGAAGAGAGGTATAGACATCAGCGTGATGCAAAGCAAGTTGAACATATATAATGGAAGAGAGATCAAAAGCCAAAGCCACCTGGCAGAACATAGATTAATATAAATGGGTTAATTTATCAGAGCTAGTAGGATAAGCCTAAGCTAAAGGTCAAGTTTTCATAATTAAGAACAAGTCTCCATGTCATTATTTGTGGGCTTGTGATTCAAAGATAGTCTGACAAGACAGATTGCTACAAATGGTGGCCAGTGCTTGGCACATGAGTCCACATAAGGCCTGAAAAAACTAAAAAAAAAATTCAAATACAGAGTTGGACACAGCTTCGTGGAGATTATAGTCTCTCAGGCAGGCACTATGATCTTGATGTACAGAGGGTTGGCTCTTTTAAGAGGTCCTGCTGTGCAGCTGAACACTTGAAATGCTGGCACTGGGTACAAAGGACTGCAGATGGCTGCAGATAGACATAGCAGCTTCCCAGAGCTGGGGAGGTTAGGTGTGGCTGGAACAGTTAAGCACAGCTAGGACAGTTAGGATTGGCTCCTGCTGTTGCCTACAGACCCAAAGGGGGCCAAGCCCACTGCCAGCACTATGTGCTAATCTAGTCATGGGGAGGAGAGCCTAGCAGGTTAAGGTTTGACTCACAGGGTCAAAGAAGGCTTCAGATACACATAAACTCAGATCCAGACAGAAAAAAACCTCTAAGCAGGTAAAATGTGATTAACTGCTGAAAATGTGCTTAAGTGCAGAAGAAAGAAAAAAATGGGTGTAGACAGTTCTAGGAAAAAAATAGTTTATAAACAATAAAGTATTTAAAGAAAGACTAAAGTAGTGTGAGAAGCATAAGTCACATAAAGATGAAAAATACACAGGGAGTCTAGATCCTGTATGGTGTTTTGTTGACTTTGAATTTTTTTAAATGCTAATATTAGAGCAAAAATTGCAGCTGCTGAGAGATATTGGATTGTTAAAAAAAAAAACCTACTGAACTAAAGCAGCCAATATATTTTAAAGAATGTCTTGACTTTAAAATGGAGGTCAGAAAATGTGTTGTGTTGGGGAGAGGTTATGCCTTTGTTTCCATAGGAAACAAAAAGCTATGGATTCCTTCAAAATTAATAAAGATCAGATTTGGTCAGGGAGACCTTTTGAAATCTTGGCTGCAGACATGAAGAGAGAAACCAAGAAGAACCTCAAGACAGGTGAGGTATAAACGGATCTCTCATGGGAATAGCTTTGAGACTGGATGAGACATGATAAATCTTGTTAGCTACAGGGTCCTCATGACTTATTACTACATGGCATCCTTCACATGACATGGATGGAGATTTATATTACAGTTTGGTTATACAGTTTATAAGTCCAAACAGACTTATAAAGTTAGTAGATGTATTTTACCTGCTCAAACATAGAAAAGAGAATCTCCTTTAGCTAATTTGCACATACCACAATTTCATACTTGGGCTAATGCAGATTTATATGTTACCTTTAAAAGTTTGTGTATTTTCAGAAAAAAAGACAGACAGGTGATCCAGCCTCTCAGAATGCCTCTGTTTCAGTCTCCTCAGAAGTCTGCATCTAGAACATCTTCATAGCACCTAGCTAGGATGTTCTAGTCTCACAGATTACTCTCATCAAGACTTCAGATGAGCCCTGTACTTTACTGTCACACAGAAACTGGACAAGAAATGATACAGTTAGTTCTCCCAGGACTTGATCATTATCTTAATTTTTCCAGGGTCCCCTAAAGATGCTATTGCCCCCAGACAGTAGGAAGTAATTTTATGACCACAATGTTAACATTCCCAAGAGGTGGGATAAGAGGTTTTTGGTTGTTCAATGGGTTATGGATGTTTGTCATTAATTAGGAGGTTAGTTAGAAGTTGTTATTGGTCATGGTCAAGGGGAAAAAACTAAGCAAAGGAGGTTAGATTCATGGATTTCTTTTTGAAAAGATAAAAAAGGGGGAATATAGGAATGATAGGATAAAAAGGGTAGATTATTGAATCTAGTTTTAAACTTCAAAGTAACTATTAATCTTGAATATTTTACATTGGTATGGATTTTTGTATATTGATACAAGTTTAAGGTTATTTTTGTTATAACATACTGTATATATGTTTCTACTCTTGTTTAAGGTATTTTTGTATTTTGATATGTTTAAGGTTATTTTTGTTGTAACATAGTGTATATATATTTTTACTCTTTTTGTTTGTTTGTTTTTGAGACAGGGTTTCTCTGTGTAGTTTTGGTGCCTGTCCTGGATCTCGCTCTGTAGACCAGTCTGGCCTTGAACTCACAGAGATCCATCCACCTGGCTCTGTCTCCCAAGTCCTGGGATTAAAGGCATATGCTGCCACTACATGGCCATGCTTTTACTCTTGTTTAAGGTATTGTACCTATGCAACTCATTTAAAAATATATGTAAAATTCTAGTCCTTGAATGCTATTATTACAAACTATTTAAGATAATTAAGAAATGCAGGTTAGTGGTTAGTCATCTAAAACAGTCCAACTTATGTTTGGTATGTTTTCAAGGTTAAACAGAGATATATTTTAGACAGACAGATGGTATTCAAACACTTCCAAGAGCTATAGAATATGGCATTTAAGAAATTTTAATAATATAAGGCTTTTCATGACAGTGAGACATGTCTGCACCTGGTAGCACCGATTTACTTTAAAAAAGATGATGGGCATTGAAGAACCTCCATATGGAGTTTACTTTCATTGTATCAAAAGTTAGCCACTGGGCAAAAAACTGTCCTTGCCTCAACTGCTGATAGTGTGCTGTCCAAATTGGACAAGCAGGCAGGACACAAAAGAAGGTGACTACCAAACTTTGCCAAGACAAGATAGAACAGTGCTTCAAATATTCTTGC